GTCCACCATCGTCAAACCTCACAAATCTTACTTAGTTTTCTGCTTTAGAGTTTTCATCATTTCCAGTAGTTTCAGTTACGTTACTTGTTCTCTAAGAATCCAATTATTATTCAGTAATGGAGAGTGTGAGACAGTTGGCTTCAGAGAAGGCCGCTGTGATCTTCACAAAGAGCTCCTGCTGCATATGCCACAGCGTGAAGACGCTTTTCTACGAGCTCGGAGCAAGCCCGGCGATTCATGAGCTCGACCGGTACACCAATGGGAGGGACATGGAGTGGGCATTGAGGAACCTCGGCTGCAATCCTGCTCTCCCTGCTGTGTTCATAGGTGGGAAATATGTCGGCTCGTCGAAAGATATCATATCCTACCATGTCGATGGATCTCTAAAACAAATGCTCAAAGATGCAAAAGCCATCTGGTTCTAGCTAGGTAGCAGCTTATATTATCACACATGAAGCTTAAGCTATGACCTGTTAATTAGCACAAGTAGTATACACAGAAAAGAATCCCAATACCATTGCTTAAAGAAAATGAGTATTGAGGTTTAATTTTCCTTTTTTCTTTTACTTTGTATGTAACTTTCCTGGCTACATTTTAAATATATGAAATGAAGTCAGATAATACGAAAAGTATCTTGGAGAGTACAGAAAATTTCGCCATCTATAAACATCTATTTTACAGTTTTTTTTTTAATTATTCTTTGTTACGGAGGAGAAAATGGAACCCTGATTACTGATCATTGTTATCATCATGTATGTTGACTGATGAGGACAAGGTTGAATTAGAGTCGAGGTGCACTTATTTTGTGTGTGGCATTTATGTGATTTCTATTATTAATTGACACGTCTTAAGTTTATAACAATAAAATTAAGAAGGGTTAAGTTTATTAACACGTGTCAATCAATGATAGACCACAGAGTCGCCACACATAAAATAAGTGCAGAAAAATCAAACTTGCAATGTCATGAATCATCGTGATCATGAATTAATGGCTTTATTCTTGTATTGGATGGGATGTGATGACATGTGCCTTATTCCTGCATATAGAATATCATGTTGAACAATCACGAAGATGCATTTCTTCCCAATGTTCAGCCTTGTTGGAATAAAATTCTTTTTTTCTTTTGGAATTTTGGGATGAGGTAGCTTATTCCTTTTAATTCTTTTTAATCACTTTTTATAAATCAAATGACGATTACATTGAATTTATTATAAAATATTCTTCTTTTAAGTATTAATCCTTAGCTCTAATTTATAAAATTTCCTTTTATGTATTTCTTTTGAACTGTAGAGATATTTGAATTTAAATGTGATTAGTAAAACACGTTGTTGTAACCAACTTGACTAAACTTAAATATTCGCTAACGTGCTCATCCAATAATACATCACATATGAACAACTAAACTAATAGTTTTTCAAAATAAAATCTCAAGTTTCTGATAACGGACGTGATAAACGACATGCATGCATGCATTATTGAATTATAGATATATGCGAATAAATTAAAACACTATCACATATCAGTTAGTACTTAGTATAAAGTACTAGTAAAACCCAAAAATATATAGATCATAACTTTTGAAGGTCGGTCCTGTACGTTCGTTATTATTAAGTCAACTATATTGTTAAAAGTCCCAATCCCTATATATTCCATGCATTTTCATGGAGGGACCATATGAACAAAGTGGAATTTAATTGGATAAACTCTATCTTTCTCCGCGTCAGTGAAACAACATCGGAACAGGGGAGTCGAACATAAAAATTCAGGCGCAGGTTAATCATTTGAGTAATAGTGTTCGATCCCTTACTAATGTTCAATGTCAAGGCGCCCCTCCAATCAAAGATTTTTCGATGTGCCCAGAACACGAGACAGTACACCACATGTAATTGTATAATTGGAGAAACACTTGAAAAAAAAAACTTTCCACCACTTGTATAATAATAACATGTGGCGTACGCTCTCTGTTTTCCCAGTACACTGAAAAATCTCTTGCTCCAATCCATACCATAATATCTAGCTAGCTAGGGCAACCAAGTCCCAGCCAGATCTGACTTTAACAAATTGACCAAACATATTGCAAAAAATGAGTGAACGTAATGTATTGATTACTAATATTAACATTTATTAGTATATCTTGATGCTATCAACCAGGACCGAAAGTGTGTTTGTGGGTTGAATAATAACTTAATATACACATGTGTATATGATTCTTATTCAAAGTTTTTCAAACCCTGTTTCATCGTACGACATAGATCTGAATTATGATTTATTGTGTGATAAAAATATACTGCATGCAATTTGTTTATAGCATATAGTACGGCGGTTGAAGAATACAAGAATTTCAAGTCGAAATTGACAACTTTAATATATATATTTTGACATCGAGTCTTTTGTGAAAAACACATATCTGCTTAGCTTTGCATGTAGTAAATGCAAGTTAGATGATAATATCGGTATAAAAAGTGATCCGATGACCAGTCTAAAATCTTAACAGAGTCACCATCATATGCAAATCATCACAAAGGGGGCATTTTTCTTATCCAATCCAAATATTTTAAAGCTACTTTCTCTTTCTTATCCATTTTTCTGGTTCTTAAATTGTTTCTCCTTTTATCTAAATTAAACAAATTCTCCCCCACATCCTTTATAAATAGCCAGGCACATGAACCTCAAAGTCCACCATCCGCAAGCTCCACAAATCATAATTATCTTCCTGTTTTACGGTTTTCATCATTTCCTGTAACTCAGCTGCATTACTCGTTCTCTAAGAAACCAATTATTGTTTTTAGTGATGGAGAGTGTGAGAGAGTTGGCTTCAGAGAAGGCTGCTGTGATCTTCACAAAGAGCTCCTGCTGCATATGCCACAGCGTGAAGACGCTTTTCTACGAGCTCGGAGCAAGCCCGGCGATTCACGAGCTAGACCGATACGCCAATGGGAGGGACATGGAGTGGGCACTGAGAAACCTCGGCTGCAACCCTGCTCTTCCTGCTGTGTTCATAGGCGGGAAATATGTCGGCTCGTCGAAAGATATCATATCCTACCATGTCGATGGATCTCTAAAGCAAATGCTCAAAGATGCACAAGCCATCTGGTTCTAGCTAGCTAGGGTTTTAGCTACCTAGTAGCTATATATTATCACACAGGAAGCTTAAGCTTGCTATACTAATGTTCTGTAGTTTTAGTAGTAAACACAGAAAAGAATCGCAATTCCATCACCACGCTTAAAGAAAATGAGTATTGAGGTGTAGTTTACCTTCATCTACTTTGTATGTAATTTAACTTCCCCGACAACATTCTCTATATATGAAATGAAGTCAGATCATATGAAAATATGAAAAGTATCCTGGAGAATTTTGAAAATTTTCTCTAACTAAGCATCTTCTACTAATTATTGACCATTAGAAGTTTGGGTGGTGCTATCCACACCCCCCTTTTTATCTTCCACACACCTTTATTAATTTATGTCTTTTGATCCTCTTCAATTCATTTGATCCGATGGTAATAAATTGAGAAGAGTGAAAAGGTAAAAAATACTGTGTGCATAGCACCACCCTAGAAGTAATTGAATTCCATACCTGCCAAATCAGCAATAATAGGTCGAACTTCGACAATTGATTTACATAAAATTTGAAAGAGAACTGTTTTTTCTTTTTTTTCATTACAAAATATATAGTCATTATGCACTCTTGCCAATTGGTTTTATAGCAACTTTCTTTAGCCTTAATTTTGTTCATTAAAAGGATTGCAATATGACTATTTCTATTTTGGAGTGTGAATAGCAGCTTTAATTGGCAAGTCCTTTTATGTATTCTAAATTTTGTTGTTGACTTAATTTTGTTTTCATCAATATCACTTGGCTTTAACAACTGCCAACTGACTTTCGGCACACCAGGTGCATGACGCTTTTACGCAAGATGCATCCATATACAACCGAGGATATGTTCCCTTTATCTACATCTCTCATCTCGGTTACACAGCAGAATCTCTCGAGCTGCTAAAGGATCAAAGAGGACAATGATAATTAGATGCCCTGAACTTTTTGTGCCTCGTATTCCTCCAAATCCAATTGAACAAAAAGTTCTCCACTATGGCCTTCAGAATAAGCAATTTATTTACTCAATGATATATATAATCTGATCTCTCATTATATTCTAACGGTTTCCTCCAAGAAGAGGAATTAATCCTCTTCATCTCTACTGAAGGGGAAGTTGTGCGATGTTTCTTTAACGTGTGGTCATCATAATGCCTATCCACATACATGCGGAGCATAGCAAGTTTGGAAAAAAAACAATATCAGAATGTGTATGAACAATGTCTCAGCTCGCACGTGCCCGCCGGACCCCTACGTGCCCTTACGTGCGAAAAGGAATCGTGCAAGTTGGTGGGTGCAACAGAAGAGAATCACACAGCACCGAAGGCCATCTATCTCATTCCCATCTTTCTGCACAAGGATTCAAGGGAAGGTGATTGCAGAGAATCTGATATTAATTGACCAGCTACATTATAGAAAATTTCTCTACTTTTGTTGTGTCTAGAGACAGTAGTGAGTATTCATTTGGTCCTTGTTTGCGTTAGGGATCCTCCCGGATCCCCTTCCACCTAATCCACTTAGTGTGGGATCTGGGCCGTTCAAATTTGATCCAACGACTACAAACAGGGAGCCTCTTTAAAAGTGATAATAACGGTAGCCATTGGATCAAATTTGAACGGCCTGAATCCCAAACTGGATGGATTAGGTGGAAAGGGATCCGCGTTAAATCTTCACTGCCTGGAAAGAAATGGTGCATTGGCCATCCACGTCACATACTAATTTCACCACTCAATTATATCTAGTAAACTAATTAATTCACTTCACTCATGTGCAAAAGACATATACACAGCTCTCGCAAGTCGCAAAAACATCTGCAACTTGTTCAGTCTAATAGTTATAGAACATGCTAGTCTTTATCATAAAAAAGTAGCATTTTTCTATTAGGGCATCTAAGTAAAGACCATGTTCCTTTGAATGTTCTTGTTGTTCAAAGGAAGCATGCAGTCCACACCTACTGCTATCGCTATAAATAGTCCAGCATGAGAGCTCAAATATTCAAACAACCTTAAGCCTTCAAACACTTCTCTCTCTAGCTAGCCTATCTAATTCTCTTCTAATTCCAAAACCCAATCCAACCATTGGATCGAGTTCAGTCCAAATTCGATCTGATGGTTTTGATCAAGTCTTAAGTAAACAAGCAGTCTTAGGTAAAACTTTGCCATATTTCGTTAACTTACTTTTCCATTCAAGGAAAAGGTTTGCCATATTGGGAAGATATTCGTGATCAAAAGAGTTTTCCAAGATGGACAAAGTAATGAGGTTGGCATCCGAGAATGGTGTGGTGATTTTTAGCAAGAGCTCATGTTGCCTCTGTTATGCAGTCAACATTCTATTCCAAGAGATTGGGGTGAGTCCTGTGGTTCATGAGATTGACCAAGATCCCGAAGGCCGGGAAATGGAGAAGGCTCTTACAAGGCTGGGGTGTACTGCGCCTGTGCCCGCAGTGTTCATAGGTGGAAACCTCATTGGATCGACCAACGAAGTCATGTCCCTCCACCTAAAAGGCCAGCTGATCCCACAGCTGAAACCTTACCAGCAGCAGACTTAATTTGTCTTAATTAATTAACTACTCAAATATCGTGTTGAAAAAAAAATAAATAAACTGGTTCAAATTAGTACTGTAGTGAGCTTCGTATTCAAAAAGTCTATGTAGTGCTTTCTTGTTTTTTCCTCAAAATACTTATGCAGTGTTTCATGTGTCTTATATTCTGTAAGATTTGATCAGCTATAGCTTGTAAACTAGCCATCTGTTTCCTATTTTTAATGAAGTAGTTTTATACGTCTTGGTGCACCATTATTTAAACACCATTGTGTACGGTGAAAGCGCTCCCATGCACCCAAATTTGAATCTTCTTCTCCATTAGAGCAATTTAGAAGATATACGGTGCTGTTAGAAGAAAAATTATATTTAGTCTAAATATTGCAGTAATGCAGACTGCAGAAATAAAATACAAAGAAAGAATGAAAAGCTCTCTTTCTACAACTTGAAACCAAAATTTAAGTGACTGACCTCTAACTAATTAGTTTATTGAACATGATTAAGAAATATTCTTTCTTCTTCTGCCATTTTTGCCTCCAGTCAACCTACATATAGAATATCCTGTGAACAAAGTATACTACCTCGAAAATTCTCTGATAATATCTACAGTACATTAATTAACTCGCTTTCATACCGTATAGTAGTGACTTTTAATTACCTTTCAAATTTATTTCAAGTAAAATGTGATTCTTTTTTCTGAACTTGTGATAAACAAACTGAAATACACACTTTGTTTAACATTATAAGAACAGATCGATGCATGCAACAGAAAAATCGAAGCAAAGCAGATAAATTGAACTTGCTGAACATCGCCTAAAATTCAGAGCTTGTAGAGGGAGACAAATTAATAAAATCTGACTTTTGCAATCCAATCTTGCCTTCCCTCAAATGGGAAGGGTATAAAGAAAAGAAAAAGAGGTCTATTTTTCTAAGCATAGATTCTTCAACTTTATGACAGATAAAGAAAGGTATTACATTCTTTACTTTTACCCACTTCGGTTCCTTTTATTTTATTCTCTTCTTGCTCCTTTCCCTCCAACGATAGACTTGGGTTTGGCAGTCAGTGTCATCAACCTATATCATTCTTGTAATGGAAATAACAGTTTCCACATATTATTAGTGCGGGAGCAAGATAGCATTCGCATCTCTGAGATATATATATATATATATATATATATATATATATATATATATATATATATATTCCTTTTCGGAGTCACTGTCTCAGACATATCCTTCTCACAGAGAAAATAATTATGACAATTAGTAGTGCAACTTATACATACAACTAGTACTATTCTGACATTCGAATTCCAGTAACTTGGAAGGTGTAGAGAAAATTTACGAAGAATATGATGGTAATTCATATAGCCAAACGATGAATAAGATATTTGGGAGCATCTAGCCCAAAACTAATTGATGGGTGGAGAGCTCTAAGATATCGCGTGACAATGAGGACATGAGAGCATCGGGCTCAACAAGTGAATAGTATTCTCTAGTATACCATATTAGAATGTGAGCATCTAACTCAGTTGAAAGTGAATGGAGCTGGAGATCAGATGTACTTTAAACTATTATGCAAGGTTTTGATTTCCTGACATAATACTAGGGGTTTAGAGTTTTAGTATTAGGGTTATTAATTAGGATTCACATGCACTATGGCATATCAGCGGTGGGGATGAGGCTTAATGCATATATATGTTAAGTACAAAGACAGCTACAAGCACCTAATTTGTGGAGTGAATGGTCCCCCCTCTCTATGTCATTTTGCAGGTTAGACTCCCAGTTGCAATGGTCCTAGCCCTAGACATCTCTAACAATTTAAACTCCTAGGATCAATATGCATATATGTAGAGAAATTGATCGAAAAATTATACCGGAATAAAGTACTCCGTGAAGATTCCCCAATGGAGTGAGACAAGCACATGACAGTAAAATCATTTGAGTGAGTGCCGAGTGGTGGCTGCCCCAGAAAATCACTCTAGAACAAAGATTCATTGTTGCCTTTTGATGATCAATCACCGTCAATCTTAATCTGGAAAATCCAAAAGAAAACGGTATTATTGTTTTTAATTGGAAGCAAGTGGAAATTAGGGCAGGCATGAATTTGCCGCACCTGGACTTTGGTGATGCAACTGTATCTAGGGTTTGCAGCCATGGCCTGCAGAATCCAATTCAAAACTGGTTGCATTTATGGTCGGTTGTTTTAGGGTTTCGAATCAGTTGAATACCCCTAAGCTGTCACCGCTAAAATATGCTATTTTAGTACATTAGGGTTTATAAGCGTAAACCAAGAAAGTATCGGGCTGGGGCGACTTGTAAGGGCAACTTACATGAAATAGGTTTGCACTTGGCTTAATTAAATAATACAATGTTATGTGTTAAAAACATTACACATGTCATTATTTAATTGGAAAGGAAACGGTGGTGGTGAATCGTTCCATATAAGTCTTTCTCATGACTTGCACACAAGGTCAAGCCAATAGTCGGATTCTAATATCCTATCAAAGTAGGACTATCAGGTTCAACGATCACGTATATATGCTTTCTCACGTAAAAATTGATGCCATGCATGAGAGAATGTGTTGGGAGGATTCGGTGTTGGAGAGAGATCTTGCTACTTAAAAAATATCTTAGATGTCTCCATCCATCGATCTCCAATTAATTTTGTCTGAAGAAACACTTTGGACCAGATGCCTCAAGGTTTGATAGAAGAAATTGTCAAAAAGAATAGGCCTCTATTGTTAAAACAATTTTAATGTGGCAATAACTAATTTATGTGTTATAATACTATAGACGACAATTGCCTCAACACTAAAATTAACACAATAACGACTTTGATTATGAATTTTCTTAAAAAATTAAGAACAACGAGTGACAAGCCACATAATTACTTAGCAAAATCATATTGGTGTGGTCCATATGAGCTACCCTGAGCACTACCCCACACGAGCGTTGCCCGGTTAAAGTAATCTGAAGTAACTAACAGTAACGAACTCGTATATTAGACCATTTCTCAAACCAAGGGGACCTCCTCCTAACCAATCACGACACGACACGTCACTATCCTTACGACCAAACGAGGGGTATATTAGTCATTCGAGGCTGTCCTATCTGCAGATCACAGCTAGAAATCGTTTACAGTTTCATTCTTTTCGTTCCAGAATTGATTCTCTTACCTCCTGTTTGGTTGTCGAGAAAATGAACGATTACGACGGAAAATGTGAGATTTCTCGGATCTTTAATTTGCTGTTATTACAACAATCTTGATCCTACGAATGTGAAAACTTTATTCTCGTGCTTGATAATTTCGACAATCACTGTAATGGAGATTTCTGCTTGGAATTTTATATATTTTATTCGCAATTAGTTAAACAGATTTGCATGCTAGGATTTATTTGGTAAAAGATCATGGCAGGATCGCACATTTTCTTTTAATTTTTTTATAGTCGGATTGCATTTCGGAACTTGTGTTGCGAATTTTATGAATATTTAAGAGAGATGGATAGATTCGGCATTATATCATCGTGTGCAGAGATATTGATTCGATCGAGCAATTGAAGCACTTGGATCATATGAGGTTCTTACTTGGTTGGATTGGTCCCCAAGCCCTTGATTCGGATGTACAGATTTTTCCAGTTCTTTCAAAGAATCGATCGTCATTTGCTGAATTCACAGAGGTAAGAATCGCGTTTTCTCCACAAGATTTTGGTTTTCGTTTAGACTACTATGCATTGTTGAGTCTTGAATTGAAAAATAGACAATTTGGATCATTGAAACACAATGTTGAGTGAGTGGAGGTCATAAATGGTCCCAATTAAGGAATTGGGGAATCTGACTTTTCGTTTACACTATGCATTCTTTTAGTCTTGAGTTAAAAAGATAAACTGTTTAGATCGTTGAAATATAATTACAGTCCTTGGAAAAGCAATTGGGGGGAGTCTAAAGTCTTGAGTTAAAAAGATGGACGGTTTGGATCGTTGAAATACAATGCTACGTCATAAATAGTCCAATTGGGGGAGTCTGAATTTTCGTTTACGCTAGGCATTCTTGAGTCCTATTTGTTAAAGATTAATAGCAATCCTATTACTTTTGTAGTATTGAATAATCTTTTTCGAGAAAGGGATTTGAAATCACAATTTGCTCTGTTTTCTTCAGGTGGGTTGGGGGAGGCTGAATTTTACGAGTGGAGGAAGTTGTCGGTTTGGGGTTTTGAGTTTGGAGAAGAACGAAGGAGAAGGGGAGCATATGCTATGGGGCAAAGAGGGGAGCATATAGCACTCAAGTTCCGGATTTACGACGGGACAGATATAGGAATCAATACTTATGCACCATCTATGACAGTATCATCTCTTAAGAAAAGGCTACTTGCTGAGTGGCCTCATGGTAAGAAATTTGCCACACACCCTCTCTCTCTCTAATTTGATTCTTCTTTGCTCGATGAAATTGGAATTTGATGAATTTGATTTGCTGAACATTGGAATTTGATGAATGATTGGCTGAAATTGGATTTTGATGAACTTGATTTGTTTAAGATTGGATTTTGATGAACATTATTTGCTAAAGATTGGATTTTGACAACTTGATTTGATTCTTCTTTGCTCGATGAAATTGGAATTTGATGAATTTGATTTGCTGAACATTGGAATTTGATGAATGATTGGCTGAAATTGGACTTTGATGAACTTGATTTGTTTAAGATTGGATTTTGATGAACATTATTTGCTAAAGATTGGATTTTGACAACTTGATTTGATTCTTCTTTGCTCGATGAAATTGGAATTTGATGAATTTGATTTGCTGAACATTGGAATTTGATGAATGATTGGCTGAAATTGGATTTTGACAACTTGATTTGCTAAAGGTTGGATTTTGATGAACTTGATTTGCTAAAGATTGGATTTTGATGAACTTGATTTGCTAAAGGTTGGATTTTGATGAACTTGATTTGCTAAAGGTTGGATTTTGACGAACTTCATCTGCTAAAAATTGGATTTTGATGAACTGATCATGCGATGAATAGATACGTTCATACAAAATTTAGCTACGCTTACCGTATGTACACATGTTTCGATCACTGCAGCAAAAACAGTAACACCGAAGTCAGTAGACGAAGTAAAAATCATACATGGTGGCAAAGTTTTAGAGAATAGCAAGACACTTGCTGATTCCAGAATAACCACCGGTAACCAGACCGGTGAGGCTGTGATCATGCATGCAGTAGTACAGCCTCTTGTACCCAAAAACAAAAGGACAGGTTAATTTGTATAAACCCTCCTTTGAATTAAGTTGTTTCATCTCAAATGCAGATTTACGTTGCATTTTTGTTCGTAAAAACGTTGAAGTATGTCTGATCTTCAGATCTTGTATTGTTAGTTAGGAAATATTTGGGTCTCTGAAATTTCCTGCGTGTTCATGGAGGATGATCGGTGCCTAATTTCTATATGGGATGAGTTTTGTGCAGGAAAAAAACAGAAAGATATGCAAAAGATGAATTCATGCTCCTGCACCCTCCTTTAATCTGGGAAGCAGGCTCTCTGCAGCTTCGATTTCAGCGGACTGATCGCGTTCGGTTTTCTCAAATTTTTGTAATTTTTTCCTTCATATTTGATGATGCAGTTAAAGTTTCCTTTGTTACCTAAAGTTATTGCTCGGTTCGTGTCAAACACTTGTTACCATTTCACGTGTTATCGTGTGGTAAATTTTGATGTGCTTTCACTTGGAATAGTAACATTAGGTGACGTCGTTTCAAGCACGCCTAAAAGTTACTTACATATATAAGATTTACCGTAATAATTTGTTTACTTATTTTCAAGAGTGTTGAAATTATTTTAATTCTTTGAATTCTCTGCATTTACTAGCATACTAGTAGTAAAATTTTGTCGCCTTCTAACTTTTCATGTGTTCACTAATACATATGAATTTCACATAATAATCCGTAATTCAATTACTAGAAAAACAAAAAATGCAATAAAAAAGAGGTTACCATACCCATTCCGTTACCTCATGTTTCCAACTTTTCTTTTGGTACCAGTAGTACTATACTATAAACTAATTTAGAGTGCGGAAATGAAATTCAAACTCGGATCCATTGGAAGCGTATCCACTATAGCCAATATGGGCATTTTACCTGCTAAAAATAGTATTGGGCGTGCATGAATTAGGAATGGGTCCAATTCCCAACTGTTTCGATGTCTTCTTCTTCAAACTTATAAGTCAGTAGACAAAAAATAATGCTTGGCTGCTAAAAGAAGAACAACAAGTTCTGCTGAAAACCAAATTAAAAATAGACACGTGTCTATTTGTTTGGAGTGATGTTGGTTCAAGTTTTGAATTCTTTAATTGTTTGGCCACATGTCCATTTGTGATTGGTCACTCTTGCCTCACATATATTTGTTCATGCTCTCAGTGTTTTGTATAATCCTAGTGTTGATTATTGTTGGTTTTGATGGAAAACATGATTTGGGTTTCGCAATTCATGTTGTTGGTTGTATGCTCCGTTTGCAACACCGAACAACAGGTTTGATTTTCGCTGTTTGTATCGTGTATTTGAATGGTTTTGAACCTATCAAGTGAGGTTTGTTTTGCTTGCATTGTAATCTATTTCCAGGTTGCTCAACTTTGTTCCAACTGCGTTGTCAACATGGTGGCAGGGGCGGATCTACTAAGGGACGTGGTCCCAGGACCACCCGGAAGTCAGAATAAGTGGCTGTAAGGACCTTCGAGGACCACCCGAGTCTTGGTGTGTGAAGGTAATGGCGGCTGATGAAGAAGAACCAGGAGGCAGCCTGAGGAAGAAGAAGGAGAAAAACTGCTCTTTTTTTTCTTAACCCTCGACTAAACGGTGTCGTTTCATCTATTCATTTAATGAGTATTTGCGAGGTTGTTTGTTTTTGGCCCTTGGCTTATAGAGATTTATCTATTCATTTACTGAGTATTTGTGAGGCTGTTAGTTTTTGGGCCCTAACTTATAGAAACTAATGCCGCATCACTTTATTTATGTCTTTGCTTTTCTGTTTTTTGTTGAAATTATTTCCTTTTGGTTCTCTACCACCTTCCCTCATCCTCCTTCCCTTTTCTAGTCTAATTTTTCATTGCTGATCAATTCATCTTGGTTGTCTATGTGTTCTTCTCTTTAGTTCCTTTTTTTTTTTGTGTTTTCATTTTCATTTTCATTTGTTTCCTTTGTTTTCTAATTATAGAGGATAATTCTACACTTATTTTACAGTAAGAGAAGAAAAAAGTTTGAACCTAGGATAGTGGGTTAAAGAGGAAAGCCCTAACCCACTTGAATTATTTTCTTTGTTTTAACCAATAATAAATGTAAAAGTAAAGACATTTAATTAGGTATAAAATGTTGATATTGAAACCTTGTGATCCATTTTGAAAATGACCCCAAATTGTAGTATGTAGCACATAAACTGCATTTAGTCTATGTAGCTTGATATGTTGTTTGTACGAAGATTATGAATGAAAAGTTTGTTGGTAGTTTATTGTCTAGTTTGTTAATAATATTTTCATCTAATTTTTTTTAAGTTTTTATATTGGGACCACCCAATGTTAAAATCCTGGATCCGCCACTGCATGGTGGAGTATTATTGCGACATTTGCAAGTTCTTCGATGACAATGTAAGATTATTAGCTTCATTGCAACGAGTGTGGAATTTGTAGTTTAGCCGATTGATCATTATCTGCCTTTTGTTGATTTCTGTTTTTCGTATCATGTCCTTATTTCAAGCCAAACCATTGCTGTCGTTGAATTTCGATTATCAAAATTGGTGGCCTGTCTTTCAGTTAAAGACTTCATGCAAGTAACCAATCACTTTAATGTCCTGCTTAGTTACAAGTTCACGATATACATTAGGCTCGGCTTTCTGTCTTTCAGTTAACTTAGCCATTGTATACTGACCTTGTGCATCTACATGCCTTGTAATTGGTTTTCATTGATAAGGGTCTTCGATCATTGCATGCTATTACACATCATTTTTTGGCTAAAAGAAATGGATTTTACGTGCACTGTTTCATCTCCATAGCTCTACTATTACTCTACTGTTCCTAGTTCGAAACATACAGAAATTGTCAACTTGCAATCGCTTTTATATTTTTCAAGTGAATTTTTATACCCGAGTGTAAGCGTATATCTACACTAAACCAGTTTTGTGAACAAATTGAATGTAAAAATTTTCACTGCTATTGCTATTTTCCAGGTATCCATTTTTTGCAACGATTGCAACACAACTAGCCATGCCACCTTCCACATTTTTCGTCGGTTTTGACTAGAACAGTCCTCTTGTGCCTGTGCCACTTGTACGCCAAGCGCATGAAAGAATCCACAGCTGCAGTAATTGACTAGGTTTCATCGGTTCATCCAAATCATTGATTTGGCCTGAGCTGAGATAATTTTTCGTGAAATGTCTTTTTACTGTAATTGCCTATGAGCAGTTTGTCATGCCTGCCTCGTGAAATCTCTTTGCCTTTTGCTGTGTAAACTTTAACCTGTATGAGAGAAGATAGAAGTTTGTCACATTTGGTTCGTGAATTTCGACCGCCATTCCTCACCTGATTATTTTTTTTTTTTTTTTTTTTTTTTTTTTTTTTTTTTTTTTTTTTTTTTTTTTTTTTTACAAGATGATGTCTGTCATTATACCTCGAGAAGTAGAATGAATTACAACTCCCATTCCGCATTGTAATTTTTAACGTCGAACAACTCAATTTATTGCTTTATCTTACCCCGACTATTGATGATACACGTAGTGTGACAGTTAGAACGAAAAATTCATCCTCACGCGCCGGTGGCTTAAGGACTTGGGCGACAAGGTACTGAGAATTACCCCCACCCCCCACCCCATAAGCTAATGAATTGGACCGACCTTGTTAGCGAGATGAGGAGTGAATATTGATGATCCACGTTGTGGACTGCGTGTGTGAATCTTCAACTTTATGATATGTCGACCATTTTGTAGAGACGTGATATCAACAACACATCATAATATTGAGAAGGGATGTGATATCCACACACCCCATTTTACTTCTCACACACCTTTTTAATTTTCAGCTGTCGGATATGATGAATTAAAGAAGATCAACGGACAAAAATTATCAAGGGTGTGTGAGAAGTAAAATGAGGTGTGTTAATAGCACATCCCTATCGAGAAATTATGTATATAGAGTATAATGTTTGTTATTCAAATATTGATATCATATCTTTTGATTCATGATATCATTCATTACATCACCTACGGAGTGTTTTGTATTCAAATTTATATAGAGTTTTGTAGAGTATTTTTATTGAGTAATGCTAGAGAGATTAAATTTATAGACTAAATTTTGAAAACTAAAGGACATGGAAGTTGATAATTGGTTTATTACTTAAACGTTAATAAACGTGCTCATTCATATTAGTGACACATTCTTTAGTTTGCAAATTTAGTCTCTCTAACATTAACTTTTTTTAATGCGGTAGAATTTTGTAGATTTCTATTGACTTATGGAAACTCTATAAAATTCACGAACTTTTTAATGATAGACTTTGAAGATTTTTGAGAGTTTATGCTAAACTTTTGTAGAGTTCAAAAGAATTTTATAACCTTTTTTATGATAGAATTCTATTGACTATTTAACCTCTTCGTCTTTATTTTTATTTTTTTTAAAATTGAGAAGTCAGATAGAACACTTAAGCAACTTTTCAAGTGATGACGAAAATTGTTTGACATGTGAAACAATTCTTAACTCATTAACATTATGATATATATTTTTAATACATATGTTCATTTTTGCCCTTATGGTTTGCTCTATTGCATTTTTATTTTTGTAGCTTCATTTTGTTAATACCGTCATTCTATTTCGTCAAATAAACCAAAATTTCTTCCAATATGAGTGTTCAAATGGGGAAATGTGCAAATATTGAAAGAAAAATGAACTTTAGTTGACAAATTGAACTGAAAACGAAACTACAAGAAGAAATATACAATAAAACAAACTACAGAAATAAAAGTGAAAAATTAAAAAATTAAAATTTAACAGTTAAAACATCCAAATACCGAATATTTCAAATCATCCAAATTTTTTTATCTACAGGGACTACAACTCAAACGAGAGAGAGATATGTACTCACTATTTTATGATTTTAGTTCAATTTTTTATTTGTTCTTTTTGAACTTTTTCAAAACTATAGACCGTCGATGGGACAGTGACTCAATCACAGTCCACATGAATAAGAGAGACGTCACCCCCAAAAGTTGGATTCGGATTCCATCCGGATCCAAATTATGGTAATCCTAAGCATTCTGATATATTAATTATTTATCGTACATCATACAATCATAAATTATTTAAATTTTACTATTTAAAATTAAACATAAATAGTAATTAAAGAAAACTAATCGCAAGATATACTAAATGTGAGTATCCTTAGAATCTCCATAAAAATAATCTGGAGGGGATCCTCATCCCCAAAAGTTTACCTTTTACCTGCATCGTCTGCTATAAAGTATCAAACTGTCGTATATTTTTTTAGTGTATGGTAAACATGGCTCAATACATAAACCTAATAATACTATCAGCTGCAAACTTGAAGAAAAAGAATTTAAAACAAAGGAATTTTAACGAAAAACTCTTGGTACTGTTTACTTCAACGAAAAATCATATTTTTACATTAAAAAATCAATCCTGGTACTATTTATTTTACCCTTTATTTTATCTTATCGTTAAAACTCAAAGTTTTCAAACCATTTTCATTAGTTTTTTTTCAAAACAATTATATTATGATACTCCATATCTTCGGCACACTAAAAAACATATCTCCAAAAAATATCTCCAACTAGCAACTTTCAAATCCAACTTTTTTTCTGAGAAAAAACCAGTCATAATTACTGCAACTGCTAAGTGCTAACCAAAGTTGAAATTTCACTTAAGCAGCCACAAATCAACAACCTTATTTAATATTCCTTCTTCTTCACCAAGTAACGATAACTTCTCAAAATTTAGAGAAAATAAGAAGAAGAAAATTCATATAAAAGGGAAGAACACAAAAAACAGAGAGATTTATACAGAAATCTGAAAACCGAGAAGCCAGAATAATTTACAGAGGGAGCAATGAATGGAGGGACGAGAAATGAAGAATCTGAAGCGACCCAGAAGCGCGTCTGTGATTACTGTGGGACTTCAATGGCGCTGCTGTACTGCAGAGCCGACTCAGCCAAGCTCTGCTTCTCCTGCGACCGTGAGGTCCACTCGACCAATCAGCTTTTCACAAAGCACACTCGCTCGCTGCTCTGCGACGCATGTGATAAATCCCCTGCCTCCATTTTTTGCACGACGGAGGGCTCTGTTCTGTGCCAGAACTGTGACTGGGAAAGCCATAATCATACGTCGTCGTCGGCTGCGATGGCGGTGCACGATAGGAGGCCGCTGGAGGGCTTTTCTGGGTGTCCTTGTTTGAGTGAGCTGCTTGCTGTTGTTGGGTTTGAGAATATGGATAAAAAAGCTCTGCTTTTGAGTGATGAGGGTGTTGGCGGCGGTGGCGGAGGTAGTGGGTTTTGGGGATGTAGGGTTGGTGGGGTTGATGGGTTTTCGGATTTGGAAGAAGGGTTTTCGGACTTTCCAGTTTGGGATACTCCCTCTGTTGTTAGTCTTGATGATTTGATTGTTAACAATCCGGCTTACAAATTTCAGGCCATGGGAGTTCCTCCTCTGCCTAAGGTCTGTATTTTAACCTCCTTTTCCTTTGTTTTTCTTTTCGAGAAAGACGATATTCCAAGCTACTCTAATCTCAGAAAAAAGGGATTCAACTCGGCGCACTACTTAAACCAACTGGCCTAATCCACGTCTGCGTATTTTTAACAATTTTTATTAATTCTTCTATACCTTTAGAACTAGGATTTCTTGTTGGTGTATGACTATTGAAACCATATATCCGTTACTGCAATTTTGACATGGTTCAGGATATTGTTGTTGAATCAGAATCGCAATGCTGCGTGCGGTCAGCACAAGGAAGAGATACTTCATCAGCTTCGTGTGCTTGTCAAGTCGGAACCCAACTTGTTTAGTGAAGATATGGATGTTAAATCCCCCAAGGGATTCCAATCCCTCGCGTCCGAACAAAATGCGCAACCAGGACGTTTCTTCACAGGTTTTGAACATGATGCAGAGCCAACTGCGTTTCCTGCTTATGGGGTGTGAGCCTATTATATTCTGTTGTACTTTTAGTTTGCAGTTGAAAAATAGTTAATTGTATTCCTTTCATGCAGGCCCGTGAATCGCAGTATAATGATTGCGGCAAGGCAGAAAATCAAGATTCGCACCCGAAAACATTGCTAAGGAGCTACCTTCAGGACTGCGGTGTAGTTCCTGACAAACATTCGTACAATGATGGCAGTGGAAGTCGTTTTAATGAGGGTTATGGAGGGGAAATGAACTCCGGAGCCTCTTCAGCTTTTCCAAAAGTTGTTCCACATTGTCAAAACAGAGAGACCGCTCTCTCGCGGTACAAGGAGAAGAAGAAAACAAGGAGGTACATCATCCCCTATTCCCGCAAGCATCTCTTCTTGGTTAGAAATTGCCTTTAGACGATTGCGAAAATTGTTTTTAACCAACGAGATTCTGAAATATATACTTCACTCGGTTACATTCTGGAGTTGTTCGTCAAGTTTTGGGATATGTTTGATTGCAGTAAAGAAAGATTTAGATTTTACATCTTTTTTGTGCTCACTTCATATTTACAACTAAAAGTTTGGAACTAATAGGTACTAACACGACAATCTAGTAGTATTTCTCTCCTTTAGAGTAGAATATCGTTGAAACTCAAAGTGTTTATCCAGTTAGATTCTAGAGTTGGTTAAAGCATTTTGTAAAGTTTTGTGCTCACTTCATATTGACAACTAAAAGTTCCAACAGCCACCAACACTACAGTCCCCCACTCCAGTAGAATATCGTTGTATCAGAAAGAAGAAGAATTTAGAACCAACACGATGTTTGGGCAACTCACAAATATCACGTTGTACTTGAAATTCCAAAATTTATATTTAGTAATGGAGGGCTTTTCTTTTTGTATTGGAAGACTTGTTGAACCTTTTGTGGGGGATCATCCGACGTTTTGATTGATTGATGGAAAAGTTCAGAATTGGGGGAAGTTATGAGGTTCTTTCATCAATGGTTGGCTTGTCTATACATTATTTCCATCTGGTGGTGGTTGTGGTGCAACTATAACCTTAACTCAATTATTTATGCACCTCCATTTCTGACCACCATCTTTGAACCTTGGTAATTGACATTTATGTTGCTTGGAAACAAAAACCAGGTATGAGAAGCACATCAGATATGAATCGCGGAAGGTTCGAGCAGAAAGTAGGACGAGAATTAAAGGACGTTTCGCGAAGATGGACCGCTGAAAGAATGGCAAGAAAATGTGACATTTAGACTAAGACTTCTCTTTCCTCCTACTCACGCATTGCCTTCGTCTTCAAACAGCTTTGACATTCAAATCAGATGAGGAATAGATGAAAAAAGTTTGTACTGAGATTGGCTCGGATTAGAAAAACATTTTGCAAGAGTCGACAAAACAACTGTTATGCAGTCCTAAGAAAATTAAGATGCTATTATAGTGATTAAGGATTGTTTATTATTATGGTCAACCCTAGCCGCTCCAGCTTTTCTCTCTCGTAGGAAATCCCTCAAAATCCCATCCTTCACCGCCGACTCCTTCCTTTGGTTGGAGTCAGCCGGCTTTCTCTTGTTGCTACCTCTTTTTTTTCTCCTCTTTAGCCCGTTACCCACGCCCTCAGTCCTCCTCCTCCCCCCTCCGCCCTTTTCCCTCTTGCCGCAACCCAACCCGTTACCCACACCCTCAAGTCCCCCCCCTTCCCCTGTCAAGCTTTCCCTCCTCTGGTTTTCTCCTACGATGCTTTATTTCTGTTTTCCTTTTGGCTTTCTTTGAGCTTTGTCTCAATTTTCTTCAGTTTTGTCTCAATTTCCTGAGCTTGTTTCATATCGGAACCTTTAGACACCTCTCTTGCTCCGATGCTTCCTTCCATTGAGTGTCCACAACTACCAACCACTGCTACCAGACCCCTGGTGCTTCTCCTTGGTGACGTGCTTGGGTTTTGGATGGTTGTTAAAGTGTTTTTTGCACTATTCGGTAGGATTATGGGAGCGTTCACTGCATTGGTGGCTCGCTCACCCCCATTTTCCGTTGATCATGTTGCTCTGTTTTTTTCCTTTTTTTGTGGTGGTGGCCTTTCGATGGTGGCGCGTCAGATTCGATGGTGACTGCTGGTTTCCTCTTTAATTTTAGGGTTTCTGTTGTTTTTCAATTATGCCTTTTGGGCTTTGTGTTGTATTTACTTTTTCTTGATAGGCTTGTATTTAGGTTGTGGGATGCCTTTTGGGCTCTCTTTTCATTGTATTAGTCTTTTTGTTTAATGGAAAAGTAACTTAGCTTGTCCAAAAAAAAAAAAGGATTGTTTATTATTAATCTTATGTTTAGGTTTTGATGTTGTAGTTTCTATCCTTTGTTTGCTAGTTTCTGCAAAATGTAACATCTTGTACTTGTATTAGGCTCCTCCTTTTGCAGTGATCGAAAATGTGCAAAGCATCTCATGTTCAAGTTATGTAACTTCAAAGACGTTGGTTATGCTAGTGGGTCGGGACAGTGCGCCTAATCTTGCGCATTTGCTTTGAAATTTATGGATATGTTGGTTTTGAAAAAGTAGAAGAATAAATACCAAAATGACATTAAATCCAAAGTTGAAGCGTCACCATTGATAAACACAACTTGCAAACCTAAGTAAAGATAAGTGAGGACAATAAGACGCAGTGGTGGGTGTCTGGTGCTGGAATGTCCCACGTTAGCTAGATAAGGAGATCCATGTGATGTTCTGCTGAGATGAATTATGGGGTTCTAGTAGGGAAGTTGCCTATGCCTACATCAATAAGGAACGTGCCCATCATCACACCATGAATCTGAAATTCGGTCTTCAGGCGAAAAAGTTTTGGATTCACGGTACTATTGCTGATATGTCGTCTTTTGGAAGAACCAATTGTACAAAGTAACGCGAGCTTTCGTTTGATGAACGAGTAGTTTGATGGTTTGAGCATGGGTGAGGTTGCCGGGGTAGACGGGCGGGTCAGCGGAGTCACGGTGGATCAGCCTCACGGTAAAGCCTTTGGTTTTATTCCCAAGTACAAGAGTAGAGTAGTCGTTCTCAAAAAACAAGATTGCACGTAAAATGTAGAGAAGGCTTATTGGTTTGGCCATGCCACTTATTATCGGATCAGTCGGCTTCTATTTATGGGGTTGTTTGATTGATTAATTCATCTAGCAAAATCGTAAGGATTGACGTGAAAATGGAGTCCGTATGCCAACCACCTAACACCTGTTGAGATTGTCCCACATCAGTGAGGGATAAAGTTTGCTATGTGCTTATATGGTCTTGGGCACCTTCCTCCTCCTCTTTTATTCGAACTTGATACCGACAACGTAAGATAAACTTACACAAACAGAGTTATACATCTAGCAAAATGCCTAAAGAAAATCTTTAAAGGTTAAAAGTCAATTTAATTAATTATCTAGCAAAATGTTTTTCCCCTTCTTTTCTCCCTTTCTTTAACGTCCAAATTCACAAGCATTTAGCTGTATTAAAACAGAATCAAAGGGTCAATTTTCTTTTTCAAAGAAAGTATAATATCTCATACTAAGTTATTAACTAAAACTTTTAAGACATCGTAGGAACAGTTCTAATTCAAGAGATTGTTGGATATATGTCAACAATCTGTGATAATTTATATATGCTAATAAATAATAAATGCTATAGGAATTAACAGAATATAAACTAGAATACGAATTATAAAAACAGACAACTTGAAGATCGAGGCTTGCGTACCGCAATGTCCTTGAAACAGAAATTTCGACCCTACTCTGTGCTTGTAATTCTACAGACGTCTGCTTCACCAGGATTCAACAATCAAGTTAAAATTCCAGCACCGGAAAATTTAACTTCTGGCGAATTTAGTGTGGTTCTCTCAGTAAGAATGTTTAGGAATGTAGAAGATGAAGTTTATTATTTTCTGTATCTTAAATGCCATGCAGATGGATGTATATATAGCTGATGGATGCCTGTTTGCAACAGGTATGAGAATGGGGTGTGACTGTTGGGAGACATATCTTCAGAGGGGTGCCTCTGTGTTCAGAAAGAACTCTCAGACTTCATCTGAAAGGATGAGTCTTTTCATAAAAAATAATTAATTAATTTAATTCGAATTTAATTAAAAATAATTAATTAAATCCGAAAAATAATTAATTAAATAATTTAATTATTAGAGCCCGAGCCCGAGCCCAAGAGCCCCAAGGCCCATCTTTTGATAATTAATTATATATTATTTATAATTAATTATATATTAATTACCAATTAATTAATACACCCCAAAACCCAACCCCAAGGGTGACCCCAAATGTCTTCTCCAAGGCCTATCTTCCAATCACTTTCTATAAGAGATAAGGCCTTATAAAGCGTGGAGACCTTGTGGGAATGGTCAATGTGGGACAAACCCCACATAAGAAATTTCTACTCAAAATTTCCAACAGAGATATCTTCTACGTCATTTAATATACTCTGGTCTACTGGTATTCTGTTCGCTTGTAATTGAGAGATCTTACGTTTGACGCTTGTAATTGAGAGATCTTACGTTTGATGCTTGTAATTGAGAGATCTTATGTTTGACGGTATATTGCTTGATTGTTGTTTTGGTGATAATTAAATGCATATTATTCTAAAAACGATTAACATGATGGTGTCATGCATGATACACTCAACTCACTTAGATATATGACAAAGTTCTGTGCCAAAATGCAGCTTCCCGTTTGTGGTGTCGTATATGATACGATGATTTCTTTGTTGGAAGGCTCCTATGAGACAACTTTGGTCTGGGCTCCGGTGCATTGCCGGGCAAAAGTATTTGGTTCTGGCGTCCCCGTCTAGTAGAAACATATTGTGAGCCGGAACTTGAAGACCCGAACCATCACTGAAAACAAAGGTAGTCATAACCGTTTTGAAGAAAGTAGTTTGTTATGGCTGTTTTCAGTGCGTTGAAAGCAGCATTGTTAAGTAGCGATATGTCACCGCCTGAGTCTATGATGGTTCCGGTGGTGCCTGCTGCCCTGTGAGCGAAAACATCTGGGGGTATATGAAGTCGTTTGTCGTCAAGGCTTAGGTCGATCAAGTTTACGTAATAGTAACCTTCCCCCGGATAACGCACCAAACTTCTTGTGAACATGCCTGGTTTTCGAGGAATGTCATCCCCGAAACGCAAGAATGTAGAGGGGGGAGCTTGACCAGCTTCGCCAAACAGTATGGTATGTATTTTGGGGTCCTAGTTGCGATGTTGCCAATGCCTACGTCAACCTTTTGGGTCCTAGTTGCGATGTTGCCAATGCCTTTTGGGTCCTAGTTGCGATGTTGCCAATGCCTACGTCAACCAGGTGTAGGAATTTTTAGATCGTCGGGCCCACCCCACTCTAACGACACCAATACTATCCCCGGCTTTACCACCTACCAAATCCGTCAGGTGTGGTATCCCCAACTTTACCACCAGCTCAATCCGTCAGGTGTGGGATTTTACCATAAAAGGCTTCGGTATTAGTTAGACTGGGGTAAACATATTTAAACCACTTTGGTTTTCTTCACCCCACCAATGTGGGACACTTTAACACCAGGAAGGATCCAAGCAAACCATGAAGCTCAAACTCGGCTTTTGGGCGAAATTGTTGGGGACTTATGGTGGCATGGCTGATACTTTTGGAAGAACGAACGGTAGAAAGGTACATAGTACGCTCGAGCTTTGGTTCGACGAACAAGTAGGTCAACGGTTTGAGCATGGGTAAGGTTGCCCGGGTAGAAGGGTGAGTCGGGCGAGTCACAGTAGATCAGCCTCATGGTGAAGCCATTGGGTTTATTTCCAAGTACAAGAGTAGTACTACTGATCAATAGGAACATGTTTATTGCTTTGGCCATGGCTTCTATCTTTTGGGTGGTTGTTGCATCTCAATTTAGTGTGTGAATTGTCGATATATAGATGTAGCAATATGCTTATAATTAATATGAAAATCTTTACGGTATAAAGTAAATTTAATTGATTGGCTTCCTGGATCTTCTTTAATTTAATTTCTATCTTTTGCCTTTTTCTTTTTTCCCTTTCTTTAAATTTCAAATCACAACCATTTAAAGATAATGAAATAGATCAACGAAGATTGTCTAATTATTATTACTGAAAATATGACTTTAGTCCTTAAAATTTAATTTTCTCCACATAAAACCCGTCATAAGTTTTGTTGATGCACAAAATCGGTGAGGACTTTGGTACAACAAAAAGTGTTAAGTTTGTGATTTTCGCTAGATTGCTCCTGTCACTAGTGTGGATAAGTAAGTAAATGGATAGGGACAGGGAGGCAAATACAAGATGTACGTGGTTCACCCAGATTGGCTACGTCCACGGAGTAGAGGAGTTCTCATTAATTGTGAAGGGTTTACACAAGTACATAGGTTCAAGCTCTCCTTTAATAAGTACTAATGAATGATTTAGTACAAATGACATTCGGAAATATTGTGAGAGAATGATCTTTATTTATAGAAGAGAGTTTCTAGTTTCATTCTGACATTGACACGTGTCGTGTTGTGATTGGTTTCTGATGTTGATACGTGTCGCGCTATGATTGGCTTCTGATGTCGACACGTGTCGTGCTGTGATTGGCCTCCTGGTTTGAGGAAAACTCTTATAGGTCCTTGACAGTATAACGTTGATCGGTGTTCAATAGTTTCAGGATTAATCAAGTATGGTACAAACAGTGCTCCCCTAATTTCCCGAGTGAAGGAAGCTCCTCGCTTGGGGACTTGCAAGATCCAAGTAATTGAGTAATCACAAAACTTCTAAGTACCGAAATGTGGTATCATTTTCACTTGCCTTATCTGTCTCATATGTAGATGTGGCATCTTCTCTGAAAGTATTTTTCCTCTATCCAGGGGTGGTATCTTTAACCGATGAAGATGCACAAGGTAATGTATCAATTTCACTTGAAACTTACTTGTAGTTTCGGGCTTGGTCAAGTGCGATACAAACCCTATAGTAGGAGTCCCCCAAGTTGCCAAGCTAGGAGATTTGCCAAAAGAGGTAACAAACAAGATAAGCAATCAGACTTCCAAGCAAGCAACCTGGATCGGAGGTTCGACTTCGGCTTCCGGTTGATTGTTCTCCTTCTCCTTGTGTCGTAAACAGCAACAAGGATAAGGAGAAGCAAATGGAGAAGAAATGATATGAGATACTTTTGCTTTTGAAGAAATAACTTTCCACAGGCTTATTCTTGAACTGAGCTGGAGGGTTTTCTGGTTTCCTCCAGAGTATAAGGCCAACTCAAGAATTTGAGGGTCAAAACAAGTCCATCAAATCTAGAGTACGTTCGACCCTGATGATATGGGATACTTTTGTTGTTGACAAAGTAG